ATTCAACCTGAATATCAGGCTGTGCTTAAGATTTGAGAATTGAATTTATATTGAAAATTAACCATGCTATTCATAAAGCCAATTTTATCTACCTTTTGAATGTGTAAGATATATCTTGATATATTTGGCTACCAAGAGCACAAACTTAAAAATATCTTTCTGTGCTGGCTCAGGTTGAGAGGTAAAAATCATACCTATACATTTAATTAGGTTCACCCAGTGAATTCCATAGTGGTTAAAGAGAATCATGTAAAAAAGCAAAATAAAACTGTTGAAGTACTGCTTCTTTGGAGAAAGGTGTGGATATTCTGGCCTTTGTTTGATATAGTGGTAATCTGTAGATCAGGATGTGAACCCTCCTTGTTTAACATGGAGAAAAATACAGTACCGAGTCTTGTCAGTTTCGATTAAACGAAGTCTAGTTCACTGATCAGCAGCTGGGTTTCAGGTAGACCTGCTTACTGCTTTTGTACTACTTGTCATAAATCAGATTCTGCATCAGATCCCTGTAGGCTGGCATTGTTTCTCTCACAAATTTTGGTTTAGTATGATGAGTAGACATGGCACTGATTGAGGACAGTACTCTAGCATTTCAGCTTTCTAAGCTATTTCTGGAAATGCCAGGAATTGAACTGAATTTTCTATATGGGAAGCGTAGGCTCTACTAGATTATACAACTAAGTGAGAGTCCTTCCCTGCAAGATAGATTTTGTGACTTTCAATCCACATTATTAATAATATTGTTTGGATTTTATTTTTCTGAGGGATCAGAACAGTTTGGGTTTTGTATGGGGGAGTTGGTAATGTGAACCAGTTTCTTGCTTAAAAAAGAAAAGAGTCTTCAGTTTTTTAATTTCTGCTGTACAATGGGAAGATACAGCCATTAACATTGGGCCATTTGGTTTACTGTTGTGGTAATTTACTGTTTCCCTTCACTAATTTCATTTGATCCCTAAATCAAGTAAGTTATTTGCAACAAGAAAAAGTTATTTGAATAAATCAGATATCAAATACTGATCTTTGGTGGTATCTGTATGTGCTTGCAAGGGTTGCTGTGTCCTTTAAGTGATTATAGTGGGCTAGCAGTTCTGGTTGACCTTTTGGTGACTCCATGCTCCCACACAAATACCGGTATACAGGCCACATCAATACTGTCAATACACATAAATTAGTACTGGCTCTACAATCAAGCTTCCAGATTACTCATATTTATTCTGCTGATGGAAGATTTCTGGATTCTTTCTGCCTCTGTTCCATTGATGTCCATCCTGTGGATAAATAGCGCTTACTGAAATGCCATATAATCTCTTTGATGTGGTAGAAAAGGCTTGCATCAGCCAAACAAGCCTACTTCCAAGAATAACCTAGGAATGTGTCTGTTTCAGCTCTTGCCACACTGAGTCAATCACTCTCAGAGTAAAATGAGACATACCTTCCTGGCTGAAAGTGTGGTGACAGCAAAACCCAGGGCTGAAGGTATAGCTTTATTCTCTTTTGAACAAAAGTAATCTTAGGATTGATTGACCCAAGACAGCCTTTCCTGCCTACAGGAAAGCAAAGCATAAAAACACAGATACATGTAGATTTTCCATCCATAGAAAGAGAAGCAAAGAAACATGTTATGTCATGTCATGTCCCTGTGGTCAGGAGCTCAGCAATGATTAATCCCAAATCATACTAGCACAAGGGCAGCCATGAGCCTTCCTGGCCTAAGGATTTAAAAATAAAGACATCCTCCAATTAAATGATAGCTTAGCCTCAAAAGATTACATCCCATAACCCCTGCAATTTCTCAGCCTTGCAGGAAACTGAGACTTCAGAAGGAACCTTAAGTCTAAAGACAGCAACAAGTAGGGTGGAGCTAAGCCTTCTTAAGCCCTCAATTGTTCAAGACAAGGCCTTAGACAACAATTCTTTTAATGAAAGTTCTAAGCTTGTAGCTTCCTGCACTGAGCTCTCCAAGGTCCTGACTATTCTTAGTTTTGCCAGAGCCAAACCTTCCACTTATTGGCTGTGTATGCATATGTTTAACTGGGTCAGGAAGTAAGGTTGCATGTTGTGTGAAGAGCTAAGACTGGTTATTACTGAGGTTAAGGGAGTTCGTTTTAGCTCAAACAACTCTGTCGTTTGGAGCTAAACTAACTTTCTCTAGTCAGCTGGGTTATGTGAGGAAGAGGATTAAATGAGGGATAATTATTTTTGTTATGGAATATATCTGAAGTCACAGAATAGTGCTACAAAAATGGGGCTTCTCTAGGAACTCCACTTTTCATCACCTAGCAGCCACAAAGGGTAGATAGTGGAAAAAGGAAAGGAAGTGAATGGAAGTACTTAAGTGGCCCCCAACTCTGTCCAGGGTGCTGACTCTAGTTGGTCCATTATACAGCCACTTTTTTGGTGACTACTAGGTGTCAAATATGGCTTCTTCTTATTTGACTGGAACATCATATGCTGCTTCTACATGGGAATAAATATTTTACTGAATAGCAGTTGACTAGGTCAGCTGTGTCGTATGAACACACCGCGGTGTTGATTCTTACAGGCTTCTGTGAGGTTTCCATCTGTGCCAGGACACATTATAGCTACTTTGTTTCAGCTCAGAGTGATTTGCTGAAGACAAGGCTCATGGTTTCTTTTCCATCTAACTTTGTACACATATTAAAATATTATTGTTTTCATACCGTGATGCTAACATAACTTCCATTAGTCCATAGCAGAATATATGGAAAGATTGCATTTTTGGCTAAGAAATGCTTTCAGTCAGTTAATCAGGCATTAGCAGGATTGCTGGGACAGGCCACTGTAAATTAGTTCAACTGACATGCCAAGCCATAGGCTGGGTTCATATAGTGCTTATAACATACAACATGCTAAGCTCAATTACCGTATTTTTCCGACAATAAGACGCCCCCATGTACAAGACGACCCCCACTTTTCCAGCCCAAAATTA